TACACCTCAAAGTTGGCGTTTTAATCCAAAAACACGGTCTTTTTTTTTTTTTCTCATTATGCACTGCTTGCTGCAGAATTTTTTTTATACTGCACACACTGACCACACAGACCCATTCTCTCACATGTGGGTCTACCAGCTTTCTCCTACTTGATTTGAACCCACTAGAATTTTTGAGTACAGTGGTCCCTCGTTTTTCGTAATCAATCCGTTCCTGGAGCCGTTACTATAAAAAAAAATTACGATTTCCGAATCAATTTTCCCCATAAGAAATAATGTAAATACAGTTAATCCGTTCCTGACACCCAGAAGTATTAAAACAAAAAACTTTTTTACATGAAATATACATGTAGTACATAAACAATACAGTGGGAAATGATGAATGAAACATTAAACAATAACATTACCTTTTTGGAGTTTTTCTTATGTAGGGGAACTGGAGGAGGAGGAGGAGAGATGGATTTTTTTATATTTTGGGGAAGGGGGAACCCCCTTCCATCAACACCTAGGTCCATTTGCTTTTCGGGGTTGCTTCCCCCTCTGTTTCTTTGCCACTAGGACCCCTTGAAGTCACTGGAGTCCTGTCTCGCAAAATAATTTGGGGGAAGAGCCTGTTTCTGGCGTCTCTTTAACTTTTTCCCTAAAATGGCCCAAATTTTGGGGTTCACTGTACTGTTGCCAACCGGCTTGCAACAACCTTGTTAGGGTGTTTTTTTCTCCATAAAGCTTTCCGGAAGACAACACATCGCAGCTCAGAACCCTTGCGCAGGGGAGGAGGAAAGAGATGGAAGAAGGTCCCTTTCTTCAAAATTAGAGAATTTTTACTATTGGGGTAAGTTTTACCTGGAGTTTACCTGGAGAGAGTTTGGGGGGCCCCAAAACGCCCCCGCGTCCCGGTCTGTGACCAGGCCCCGGGGTGGATCAGCCCCTGACAACAGGCTTTTGCTGCGGCTGCACGAAAACCCAAACGTACGGCCACAGCCCGGCGATCAGGAAATGCTTTGGACAAGCACCTAAAAAATCAGTTCCCTTTAGCCGGGCCCGTGGGTCGTACGTTGGTTTGCGTGCAGCCAGAGCAACACCTGTTTTCAGGACTGATCTACCAGGAGGCCTGGTCACAGACCGGGCCGCGGGGGCGTTGACCCCCAAACTCTCTCCGGTAAACCCAGGTAAAATCTTTCCCACATAGTAAAAATCTCTCAAATTTTTGAAAAGGGACCCTTTTTCCCTCTCTCTTCCTCCTCCTCGCAGCAAAATTTTGAGCTGCGATGTGTTTTTTTTCCTGCTGAAGCTCTTGCAGCTCCTCATGGGGAGTCTTCATTGTGGTCTTCCCCCCAATTCTTCCACATCCTCCAAATACATCCAACCCCAAGGAATCCCCCGTGCCCCAATTTTTTTTTAAAAAAACATAGGCTCTTTGGGTCAGTTCCCCAAAACCCTTTAAAACCCTCTTGTCGACACAATCTGCCAAATTTTTTCCAGGCAGAGTTCAAAGTCCCGGTAGTCACTCCCTCCCCCCAAACCATACCTATAAGGGGGTTTTGCAATGGAGGATGCTGAAGTGTTTTCTCCAAAATTCCCTTAGGGTCAAGTGAGTGTCTGTGGTCACAGTCAAGCACCTGTAAAACATTGCTTTTGTGTAGAGTTTTTTAAAGTTTGCAATGACCTACTGGTCCATGGGTTGGAGGAGAGGAGTGGTATTCGGGGGCAAGAACTTTACTGTGATGAACCCAAACTCCTCGAAAATTAGGTCATCCAAGTTTGGAGGATGAACAGGTGCATTGTACATTACTAGCAAGCACTTGAGATCCAATTTCTTTTCCAGGAGATACTCCTTCACACTAGAGCCAAACACTTCATTGAACCACTCAACGAAAATTTACCTCATGACCCATGCCTTACTATTAGATTTCGAAAACGCACACAATTTACTCTTCATAACATTGTTTTTCCTGAACACTGGGATTTTCAGAATGGTACACTAGTAATGGCTTCACTTTGAAATCCCCACTAGCATTAGCACAGAACATTAGCGTCAGCCTGTCTTTCATATTCTTGTGTCCTGGCATTGCCTTTTCCTCTTGTGTAATGAAGGTCCTCTTTGGCATTTTCTTCCAAAAGAGGCCTGTTTTGTCACAGTTGAACACTTGTTAAGGTTTCAGTCCTTCAGCCTCTATGTACTCCTGGAATTCATGCACGTATTTTTCAGCCGCCTTGTGGTCTGAACTGGCAGCCTCACCATGCCTTACCACACTGTGTATGCCAGTACGGTTCTTAAATCTTTCATGCCAGCCTTTGCTGGCCTTAAATTCACTCACATCACCACTATTTGCAGGCAATTTCTTTACCAAATCTTCATGCAACTGCCTAGCCTTTTCACAAATAATCGAAGTCATAAGAGTATCTCCTGCTAATTGTTTCTCATTCATCCACACCAATAATAACTTCTCAACCTCTTTCAGTACTGGTGATCTCATTTTTGTCAGCATAGTTACTCCCTTTGCAACAACAGCGTCCTTTATTCTTGGCCACTATGGAACATAAGGTTGTGTAGGGTTTCTTATACATCCTGGACAGTTCGGTCACACTTGTACCACTTTCATATTGTTCAATGATGGTTTTCTTAAATTCAATCGTATTTCTCACCTTCTTTACCACAGGCTTGGCAGTAGGAGCTTTCTTTGGAGCCATGGTAGCTTATTTAGTACTTATTTCTTTCTTTCAACACATCGGCCATATCCCACCAAGGTGGGGTGGCCCAAAAGGAAAAACGAAAGTTTCTCCTTTTACATTTAGTAATATATACAGGAGAAGGTGTTACTAGCCCCTTGCTCCCGGCATTTTAGTTGCCTCTTACAACACGCATGGCGTACGGAGGAAGAATTCTGTTCCACTTTCCCATGGAGATAAGAGGAAATAAACAAGAACTAGAAAGATAATAGAAGAAAACCCAGAGGGGTATGTATATATACGCTTGTACATGTATGTGTAGTGTGACCTAAGTGTAAGTAGAAGTAGCAAGACGTACCTGAAATCTTGCATGTTCGTGAGACAGAAAAAAGGACACCAGCAATCCTACCATCATGTAAAACAATTACAGGCTTTCGTTTTACACTCACTTGGCAGGACGGTAGTACCTCCCTGGGCGGTTGCTGTCTACCAACCTACTACCTAGGATTTAGTACTTGCAAGCACTAAAATAAATGGAATATTATGAGATATTTCGCTAGAGCACATGAGGTGACCTTCGCTCACTAGTAAACAATGCCAGACTGGCTGCCGCCCCGGCTCACGCCGTGGGTACGCATCCCGGACAAACTACGACTCGCGAGTCAACCTATGAAAAGCGAGTCCATGTTTATACGAAAATACCCCTATGATTGGCGAAATTTACGATTGCCGGGAACTACGAAAAGCGGGGGACCACTGTATATGTATGTCAAGCACATTGGTTCATTAGACGTATATATACGACCGAAACAGTCAAAGGATTAACCCTTTGACTGTCGCAACCCCCAATCCTGAGGTGTCTCCTGGTGTCGTAAAATTAAAAAAAAAAAATATTTTTTCTTATGAAATGATAGAGAATCTTTTCCCGATTGTAATGACACCAAAAAAACGAAATTTGATGGAAAACTGACGGAATTATGCTCTCGCGAAGTTAGCGACCTTGGCACTGTTTACAAATCGGTGATTTCGCCCACTTTGAGCCCTATTTTCGGCTAATTCCATTGTTCCAGTCGCCCAAACTCATAGCTATTTCTTTAGAACTCCATTTTTTCTATCGATTGAGTACAAGAAACTGCCCATTTACCGATTTCAACTACCTAATAATGTGGTCAGAAATTTGCAATTTGGCCAATTTCAAACAATGCAGACATTCCTGGCTCTAAAATAACATTTTCTTTGCTCATCAGTCATGTCTGCAGGCCCCTCTGATATTACTCTTGCTTTCTATTTTGAATTTTTATTCAAACAAAAAATAGAAGACTTACTATTATGCAGACTACTGCAGTACTGTAATAATTGTATAAATAACATCAACCCATTCATGACTACATATTAGAATGGCTAGTTGGACATGTATTGGACAATGGCATCATTTGTTTACTTTTGAACATTGGCAAAAATCAAACATTTCCCCTACTTTGAGCTCCATTTCTAGGTTCTTTTTATAGTAAAATCAATCAAAATCACCTCTATTTCTATAATATGTTTTCCATTCTATCAAATGAGACCAAGAAAACGAGAATACAACCATAAATACTATACGAAAATAGACCACAAAGTCGGCATTTTAATTAAAAACAAGGTCAGTTTTTTTTTTCTCATTATGCACTGCGTGCTCCAGGATTTTTTTGTATGGGGCACACTGACCACACAGACCCATTCTCTCACATGTGGGCCTACCAGCTTTCTCCTGCTTGATTTGAAGCCGCTAGAATTTATGAGTATATATACGTCAAACACGGTACCTTGTAAGACGTATATATACGGCCACGACAGTCAAAGGGTTAAAGGTCTCGACAGAGGAATATTCATAGGAATTATACCACTCTGTAATGTACTACTATATGTGTTGAGTAAGCTAATACTGAATTTGAAATCAAAATTAATACAAGATATAAGAATTTTCTGTCACAGATAAAATTGGAATTGATTTTACATGTATATTAAATATTGCTGATATGTTTACACTAGTTGAACAGCTTGCACATATATCATTTGTGCAATGTCCTTGGTATTTTTAATAAATAAATCCTTAAAAAGGTCACTTAAAATACTAACATGATGTGTCAATTCTGTCCTGAAATTTTCTTTGTGTATTATCTATTGTTATTATGAGTATAAGTTGGTCATCACAGCAGTCTTCATTCTTTTTTTTTTTATCCTTAATTTTTTTTCCCTTCTTCATCTTCCTCATAGTCCACCTCCTTCTTCCTTATTCTCTTTGTCCTATTCTTGCTAATCCTCATGTAATCAAGTATTTTGTATTGCAGGTATACTATTTTGCACAAAAAGAGCCACTGACTTACCAGCAGATGCCAGTGTGAAGGACAACACTCCTCCACGTAAAAAGAAAAAGAAGCATCGTCTGTGGTCCATGCACTGTAGGAAGATTCAGGTGTGTTACCAGTCATGATTAAATCAGTTTCCTGTGTTTTTCTATGTATTGTGTGAGTATACCCTGCCTGGCGTACAATGCCATGTAAAGAAGGCTGATTATCAGAGAACTGGTATAGATAAAGAAGGAAAACAAGTTACAATGAATGTGTAGAAAGAATTAGCAGTGTATGTTGACTTAAGAGAATGAAAAGTAGTACAGACAATTCCAGTAGATTTAGAATTCAAATTCTTGAAATAATATATTTAAAACAACCTTTGCGAAATATCAGATCAGTGAGACTAATGCCTATTTGGGCCAGCTGGCCACTAACAGCAGCCTGGTTAACTAGGCATTATGTCAGTCTGGTCTTTGGTAAGGGTAGAATGCCCAAAACTAGTTACAGGTATATGATCACCAGTAGTTTTGTACTTTCCTATGAATGTAATCCATCTCCTTTACAGCAAGAGATTACTGCCTTGATTATAACACACTAAGTTATACTGACAATTAATTAAAATTTGTTGTGGATTTTTTTTTTTTTTTTTTTTTTTTTTTTTTTTTTTTTTTTTTTTTTGTTAACACTGGCTATCTACCTTTGAAGTAGGGTGACCCGTAAAAGGAGAAACAGATAAATGGGTTAGGCTCTTGGAATGTTGGAGATTGAAATTGCTAAGTTTCACAGTATTGCAGGGGCTGAACTCAGCAGTAATAGCAAGAGCTGAAACATAAAATTATCAGTTACAGGAAGGCCACACTCACATGGCAGGTTAGGTTCCAGGCTACTCCCATAAAGTGAATCACACTTTTGTCATTTATAAATGCTTCATAGTGTGTTTACTTTATCATGTATTGAGTTAACAATAGAACCAGGCATGAAAAAGGAATAAAAAAGTAAAATACACATACAGTACATTCATTCATTACTTTAAAACATTTGTAGTCTTAACCTTTAAACTGCCCACACGTAGATCTACATTCACGTGAGGAGGGCTCCGAATGTTGATTTTTTTTTTCATTCCTTCAGAATTGGTGCAATAGGCCTGAGTCGCCCAGACATGAGAGAATGTGTCTACGCACTCAGTGTGCGCAGTATGAAAAACGTCGGGGACCACTTAGTACCTTGTGGGAGCACCAGTTCAACTGTGTGCCAGCTAGAGCAAATAGCATGGCAAACACCAGGGATTCACTGATGTCATGTCATATTAACACTCCCCTTTTAACCCTTAAACTATCCACACGTAGATATACGTTGACATGTGGCAGGCTCCGAACGTAGATCTACGTTTTTTTTATACATACTTTCAAATGGGGAAAATCAAGGTCGGAGCGTTACGCATGTGAACGTACATCTACGTTTGGACAGTTTAAGGGTCAAGAGGAAAGTTAAAATAGGTTAGATAAATACGTGAGTGGGTGCGAGTTGGACTTGACTAGCTTGTCCTACTAGGTCAGATGCCTTGCACCTTCCTTCAGTGGATGTGACCTGACTAGGTGGGTCATTGGTCTAAGCCAGGGGGTGACATAGATCTGCCTTACATGGGCCATTAGACATGCTGCAGTGTTCCTTCTTTCTTGTGTATTCGGCAAGCTGGCTGGCTGGCTTTGGCTGTCTTAGTCTGTATCTGTCTGTCTATATCTCTGTCTATCTCTGTCTCTCACATGTACACATAAGTACAGTTATTATACATAGTGTAAATTACTTAGGATAACCCAAAAATTCCAGGCAAAGTACTAAACAGTGTAGATATAAGACATAATAAACATGATGCAAGCAATAGCCGTGTCATGAATGGTTTCGAAAACCGACAAGTTGAAGACTTGAGACACTTGTGCAACATACGGGAATCTTTATTGAAGAAACATTTCGCCACACAGTGGTTTCATCAGTCCAATACAAAGTAGAAATGGGTAAGGAGAGGAGGAGTTTGAGGTAATCAGTCCCTCAGTCCCACTGTGATCCCGCCTCCTCTTGCTTCGACTCATCTGACTGCAGTATATAAGCCACCTCTCTGGCCCTATGCTATGCTTCCTACAAGAGTGATGAAATGAACACATCGATTCCAGGTTGAGGGACTGATTACCTCAAACTCCTCCTCTCCTTACCCATTTCTACTTTGTATTGGACTGATGAAGCCACTGTGTGGCGAAATGTTTCTTCAATAAAGATTCCCGTATGTTGCACAAGTGTCTCAATTCTTCAACTTGTCAGTTTTCGAAACCATTTATCACATCTGTCAGACACTGCAACATCATGGGATCTTGGTACAAAGACTTCAACGCTTGTCCAACCTTTGGACGATGACCTACTTACACTAGTGGCAGGCCCCACTGTGATCCCGCCTCCTCCTGCTTCAACTCATCTCACCGCAGTATATAAGCCACCTCACTGGCCCTTTGCTGTACTTCCTACAAGAGTGATGGACTGAACACATCGATTCCAGGCTGAGGGACTGATTACCTCAAACTCCTCCTCTCTTTACCCATTTCTACTTTGTATTGGACTGATGAAGCCACTGTGTGGCGAAACGTTTCTTCAATGAAGATTCCCGTATGTTGCACAAGTGTCTCAGTTCTTCAATAGCAGTGTCACTTGCTCAGCAGTCAGGGAGCTGCTCATAAACCAGAAACCAACAGGTTTACCAGCTGCTCCCTGAGACAGAGACAGACAGATGGAAAGACAGGCAGACAGATAAACAAATTGATAGATAGATAGGCAGATAGACAGACATGTTTCTGTACAACAGCTAAAACAAATAAAGTCAGGGTTCCCTGCAGCAACGCACATTCATCATATATCACTGGCTGTCACCAGTTATCTCGTTTGTCATAACACCATTCTTCAAGGAGTTTAATATATATACTCCAGCATGTCAAAAACATTGCAAAGACCTATAATTACTTTGTATATATTTCTAGACAATAGTAAATGACCCAGGCAGGTGAAAATGTTCACCAGTCGGTGTGATTGTTACTACACCTACCATCTTGACTTACGACCTGCTCGATATATGTCCACTCGACTTAGGACCGTGCATCTGGCAGCTGGGCTGGGCCGGCTGATGCATACCGCTGTACAATATTAGACGATACTCGCGGCGGCAGTGTGCCATGCAGGCAGCATCGGTTTGAGTAACCCTGCGCTATCAGCAGCATCATACTGTATTAACTGTTCTAACTGGTCAGTAAATTTCACCATGTCCTCTAAGAGGAAGTCTGAATCTTGTACTGGAGATTGTGGCAAGAAAGGCTCTTACTCTCGAACTCTATTTGTTTTCACTGTTGGACATAAACCTGTCTGTATCTGTCTACCTGTATATCTGTGTGTCTCTGTATCTGTCTGTCTGTCTATCTGTGTCTGTTTATCTGTCTTTGTCTTTCTGTCTACCTGTGTCTGTCTTTCTGTCTGCTTGTCTGTCTCAGAGCCACTCATTAAGAGTGTAATTGGTCTTGAAGACACCATATTAATAATGATAATAACACAGTAATAATCACTCTGAGGAACATTAAATGTGCATAAAACGTTAAAGTTTTTCTTCTTCTCTTTTTTAGTAAATGTCTACAGGAGAAGGGGTTACTAGCCCATTGCTCCCGGCATTTTAGTCGCCTCATACGACACGCATGGCTTACAGAGGAAAGATTCCTTTCCACTTCCCCATGGACAATAGAAGAAATAAAGAAGAACAAGAGCTATGTAGAAAAAGGAGAAAAACCTAGATGTATGTGCATGTCTGTGAAGTGTGACCAAAGTGTAAGTTGGAGTAGCAAGATATCCCTGTTATCTAGCGTGTTTATGAGACAGAAAAAGACACCAGCAATCCTACCATCATGCAAAACAGTTACAGGTTTCTGTTTCACAGTCATCTGGCAGACATTAGTACTTCCCTGGGTGGTTGCTGTCTACCAACCTACTACCTGGGAAGTACATTTGCCTGCACTCTGAAGGAGGGGGTTAATGTTGCAGTTTAAAAACTGTAGTGTAAAGCACCCTTCTGGCAAGACAGTGATGGATGAATGATGGTGAAAGTTTTTCTTTTTCGGGCCACCCTCCTTGGTGGGAATGGGCAGTGTGATAATAATAAAAATAAAAACGTTAATATAAAACATTTTGCTTAATTCATCTATAATTTTTTTTTTAAAAATTGTATAATAAACATGAAGTAACATGTAAACATATAAATTAACAATTATAATGTTTTTCTGGTCGGCTCGACAAAGTGAAAAAAAACCATTAGTGTCCGGGCCGGTAACAACAACAACTAGTTTGTTTACGAAACCGCGAACCTTCTACACCTCTTTTCTCTCTCTCTTTTATTCATTTAATTTTGATTGCCCCTCTCTCCTACATTAAGACTACAGATATTTTAAGGTAAGTAATAAGTGAACATGATTATTATATTATAGTTTAATAATAATATTATTATTAATATTATTACATACTTTCCTCGAAGGGTTGGAAAGAGGGGTAAAGGGGGTTTTGTGGTGAGGAGCTTGGCTTCCAGCAAGCGTGCATGAGCGGTTAGATAGGAGTGAATGGAGACGAATGATACTGGGACCTGACGATCTGTTGGAGTGTGAGCAGGGGAATATTTAGTGAAGGGATTCAGGGGAAAATGGTTATTTTCATATAGTCGGACTTGAGTCCTGGAAATGGGAAGTACAATGCCTGCACTTTAAAGGGGGGGTTTGGGATATTGGCAGTTGGAGGGATATGTTGTGTATCTTTATGCGTATATGCTTCTAAACTGTTGTATTCTGAGCACCTCCCGCAAAAGCAGTGAAATGTGTGAGTGTGGTGAAAGTGTTGAATGAGATGAAAGTATTTTCTTTTTTGGGGATTTTCTTTCTTTTTGGGGTCACCTTTCCTCGGTGGGAATGGCCGACTTGTTTAAAAAAAAAAAATTATTGTAATAATAATAATAATTATTATTTTTATTTATTTTTTTTTATTAACACACTGGCCGATTCCCACCAAGGCAGGGTGGCCCGAAAAAAGAAAAAATTTCACCATCATTCACTCCATCACTGTCTTGCCAAAGGGTGCTTTACACTAC